TTGGCGCTCGCTAGAGAATGTGCATGAATTTTAAAGTAAAAATATGTTTATAATCATGAAATAATAATTTAATCCATTGGGACTAACTATTAATCCTTTTGGATTAATTATATATAAAAATCCAAAAATGCTAATAACTAATACTAGAAATATAAGTGTGTAGTAATCCATATTAATCCATAGTAATACACACTTACGTAAATTCTAACAGCAGTGCAATGACGTTTCATGTGTACGTTGTGTATGACATTTGCTAGGCATAAAGCGATCGCAGTATATTTCGGATGAGATATTTTATTGTTGAAAAATGGAAAATAACGAATTTAATTTAATAAATATCGAATAAATTGTTTCAATCCGCAATATACGACGAAACGAACGTTTTATTCCTAACAAATTTAATACACAACGTACACATGAAACGTCATTGCACTGCTGTTAGAATTTACACAAGTGTGTATTACTGCGGATTAATATGGATTACTACTCACAACATAGAATTACTTTAAACAAAAATTATAATTCTAGTACTGCTCTGCCCCTAGATTCAATGGCATATAACCAACATTCTAAGTCTTCATAAGGCTCTACTACGTGGGTTGATAAGTTCTTAGAATCGGACACTAGATGGCGACACAAGTAAATATCCATCTCATTTTTAGGAAGAGCCATCCTTTTAAGGAATGCCAACGGAATTTGAGCCAAATTTGTTCATGGAATCAGAGGTTACACCACTTGAAGGAACATAACCTCAAAATCGGACCAAATTCTTTATTTCATGTATTTATTTCAAAGGCCGGGCTGGATGCAAAACTATTTCTCTCTCCGGCAAGTTCACACCAGAAATATGAAGTTTATACGTGTTCAACTTCGTGAAATTTCGCCACCGTGTGTTAGGCTTCCCGAGGCGGTTTTTGGTTACAATTTTAAAGTATACATTTTCTTGAAAAAAACAGTATTTCCTTGATTCAAAAATTTCAAAAATGACATGGATTATTTCTTTGGCTTCGCTTCATTCCATTCAAGATGATGAAGCAATATTTTGAACAATACACTTCCAAGGAATACGAGCTAAAGCCAAAAATTCGAATTTTTTACCTTTTGAGGTTATGTCGATAATTAGTGACTGTCGAGACCATATATTGCCTCATAATGCACTAAATGGATTCAAACAGACATCAGCAGTTAACAATAAATAAAAATATCAATTTGATTAATGTATAAAATCCATTCAACATCGCTATAAAGTCGCCACTTGATTCCACTTTGGGTAAATACGGAAACTCGTTGCGAGTTAATTTTTTTTACCCAAAAGTTGAAGTAATAAATTCCCAAAACTATTCTGCGGAATGCTTGGGATCTTGTCTAGATTATTCACGCGAATAGTGCAGTCTTTCATGGCAACCTCTTGGATTTATTGAAGCATCTCTTCAAAAGCTACCATTTTAAAGGCAATCATTACTTCGGTCTGTACGACCACATGCAAACTCAATAGACTACTTCTAAATGGCCCTAATCGATAGTAGACAGTCCAAAAAATACCATCTAGCTCGGTTTTGGTTTCTCTGATAAGTATAGCAAACAAAAATTTATAGTTATTTAACAAATGATTTTCGATTCGTTTTGCATTTTAAGAAAAAACTGGAGGTTGGTCCCTTCCAAGAGTTATAATTTCCGAGTCCATGAACAGATTTTGCTCAAATTCCGTTGGCATTCCTAAAAAGGATGGCTCTTTCTAAAAATGAGATGGATATTTACTTGTGTCGCCATCTAGTGTCCGATTCTGAGAACTTATCAACCCACGTAGTAATTCAATCCATTTAAATGGATTAAAATTCATTTTTCTTTATATTGTACTCAAATAATATTAATTCTTTTTATATATTTACATCAGTAATGTGTGAGCTACATTTCACAGGGGGGGGGTGATTTTTCAAAACCACGGTAACACCCCCTCCCCCCCCGCACATTACTGATTTACATGTACCTATTTTGTCCTCATTGTTGTATATATATTCGTCATTTGTATTTTCAAATTCTGATGAAAATGGATCGGTCATCGGCGATGCAATGTTTTTTCCGGACGGTATGGCTGGTTGGTACGAATCATATACAAAAGACACAATGATACACCGGTGGTACGAGCATCTGGCAGAGAATTGAGTTATGTTTTATTGGCAGGCATCATAATGTGTTATGCGGTTACGTTTGCATTAGTGTTGCGACCAACCGATGCTGTATGTGGCATACAACGGTAAGTGTTGATTTATTATTTAAATTGAGCTATTGAATTGATATAATTCGTTTAAAGTTCCGATATACTCGAAGCGTGAAAACGGGCAAAGTATGTACACTTAAATTGTGTCACTCTATTCATAGTATCAATTCGTAAATATTATATGTATGGGACGACAATTTCCATCCATATTTTATAACACTATAATGAACTTGTACTTAAATAGAAAAAAAACAGAGGATACGTGCAATTACCAGCTTATTGCTGTTTGGAAAAAGCCGAATACAAATAATTGTAATTACAGATATTGCAGATGCGATGATTTTGCAATAATTTGCGGTTACCAACTACAGAATTTGAAGCAAATTGCTAGATATTGACTATATTCCGAATTCGAGCATATTTTCTGCATATAATTGTTGCTATACGTTTGAATGCATACAATTTATACCAAAGTATCGTAATTTCATCCATACTAATTCCATACCACGACACATGATATCCTGAACGTTTTTATAACACAAGAACTTGTGTCACATTTTATAAGTAAAAAAATTGGAGAAATTGCCAATGGCAATAACCATTGACAAGGTAAATAGAGGAAATAAGCATGAAATAAACAAAGAAAAAGAACATCAAACGAAGAAAAAACATTGAACATTAAATGTGTTTACTCACAACCAATCATTACAATTTTTAAGTCAACAGATTGTACGTATTTGAAGACCTATTTTTACATTCAACTAGTACGAGGGCGCACACTTCTACAAACCACAAACCCATGATCAAAGTCTATCCCAGAATTTTTTGGGAAGAAAGAAAAATGCCAAAAAGTGAGCCAGCCGTCATTGCTTGCAAATTTTTCAAACCCTGCGGCTATCCTAACAAAACAACGTACGTTTAATTCACGATACACCCTCCAATCCAAAAGTAACCGAACTTTTTAAAAATAATAGATACCAGTGGCGCCACCTACTGGATATTATATGCGTTAGAAAGGTACTTGCCCCACTGACATTATGTCCAAGTTTCATGAGAATCGGATGTAAACATGTCAAGATATTGCGTCTTATTTTTTAGTATCTTTTGCTCTCGGTGACAAAATGAATTTCAAACAAAAAATAATCAACTTTTGTGATAAATTTTGAAAGTTTTAACGAATTAGATATTTCAAAAACCATTTTATTATTATTTCAATTAATGAATGAACTGTCGTAAAATCCATAGCAATTAGATGTTGTTGTTCTACGCCTTATATTGATTTTACTATATTAAATTCTTTTGAATTTACAATCCAACTACTTGCTTTCGGAGCGTCTAACGCACCATCATAAGCAACGACAACAACAACAACAACAACATCTAGTTATCTATCATCTCTTGGTCTCAATCTGCATAGCAGAGTTCGCAACTCCGACCGAACACTGTGCGTAAGAATAAGAACATGCAAACAGCGCCGCACTCGAATGCATTTGATTTGAATTATAAATTGAAGCGGTGCGAGTTCGAACTAACCAAATTACACTAACAAAATCTACATACACGCTCAGTGTTCGACTCCGACCGGCCGCCGGTCCCGACCGAACCGAAGATGGTCGGAGAACAGTCAGTATCGGAATGATTTCGCCATCGAATTTTTTTCGGAATTCAGTATTGGTCGGATGCTCGATGGAATTCGTCAAATTTAAGTTCTGATTGGGTCAGAATAAAAAATCGACTTGCAGTGCATAGGTTACAGCCGGTGTATATTTGTATGAGATTGGAGACTTTTTTTTGCGAATCTCGCTAATGAGCGCCATCTGATTTTAGTGTGAATTAGATGCAAAAACTGAATTTAATTCTGTAGCATTGAAATGAAAAAGTGAAAAAACAACAACAATAGCACGGCCACACAGAGCTGTACATCTATGCGTGCTGATGCATACATACACATATACGCTTTCTTCATTCTTTCATTCCATTGCTATACGTATCTCACTGGTCAACAGATCTATGTAGCCATGTTACTGTTGTTGTTTTTTTTCTCTTTTTCGATTCAATTCATTGTAACTAAATTGAGTTCAACTATGGAATACAAGATGGCACAGATGAGGGGAATTCGCATTTTGTCTCTTCATAGGCTTAGCCGGTTGATAGGTTAAAAGTTCAACGTCCAAGAAATTTGCACTACTTCTATAATCGATTCACCCTAATACAGTGGGCATTGTAATGGGCCCATTACAATCATTATCTTAACATGTATCATGTTTGTCATGCGATAAATGATATGTACACAAATAACATATATAATAATTGAATCTACTGTATATGTTCATTCAGTATAATTTTGAATGTCTAACAGTAAAGTCATTCTCAGAACACGCTCTTTTAACTCAGTCAGTTTTTACAGGAAAAAACACCTTTATTTATCTGTTTCATTAAAAAAAATGTGCTGTACAAAGTACAATGAAGAAGCCAAAGAATAGAGTGGTTATGATAGACCTCCAATTTTCAATCCGAAAATCTCATTAGGTCATGTAATCTTAAAATCCTGTACGATATATGAATCAAATATTGCTCAAGTACGTATACAATTCAGCTTGTAATTCAGTATTAAGTGATTTTCGTGATAAATTGTGGTTCATTATTTCTTATTCGTGTAAATAACATTTTAGATAAGTGATTTTTTTAAACGCATTCTCGTTACAGATAAGCGACGATAATGGAATTCAATTGACTTTTGATGAAATTCGCCTAAAAACTATTCGAGCCGCACAAAATCTTCAAAAACTTGGATATGAGCCGAAACAGGTGTTTGGATTGATGGCAAAAAACTCACATAATGTCGCACCGATTGTATTTGCATCGATAAGTATTGGATGTCCAGTCAATACACTAGATCCAACATTTGGAAAAGTCGAATTGATTCATATGCTCAGTATAACAAAGCCAGCGCTGATGTTTTGTGATGTCGAGGCTTATGATTTGGTGAAAGAGTGTTTAACGGAAATGGGAAATGGTGCCAAAATTTTCACATTCGGTGGTAGTAAGGATGGATCAAAACCAGTTGAGGATCTACTTTCAAAAACTGAAAATGAAGACGATTTTGTGTGAGTTAACTTTCAAAACTCAACAAATTAGAAATCCACACTCATTATACAATCATTTTTTTTGATGTTTTTTATGTAAATAACGTATTTTATAACAGTCCGTTGAATATTGATGGTGAAAATGAAATTGCTTTCATTGCTTGTTCTAGTGGAACTACCGGCCTTTCAAAAGGTCTTTACCAAACCTTTACAATTGCATTGTCTTGCTTGCTTGTCGTTAACATAAACTAATCTAATTTTTTTTTTATAAATTGCCCAACATAATATTCAATTATTGGCAGGAGTATGCTTATCGCATGCATCTCTTCTTAGTGTAATGGACCGTGGCACTTCGATAAATTCAAGTGACGTGGTATTTTTTGAAAATATGATCACTCACCAGCTGTGATTTTACCTGTGATTTTTTTTTATTGATTAGATTTTATGCTTCAGTTCTCTATATTGGCTGAGTGGGATTGTTTTTCTCTTTTATGGAACATTAAATGGATCAACTCGTATCATTACAACCGACGCCTATGCGCCAGAGTTGCAATTACGTTTCATCGAGCAATATAAAGTAACGGTTACGATGAATGCACCACATCATCTAACATTGATGCTGAAAAGTGCTGCGTTTGCTAAAACAGATTTATCAAGTTTAAAGCGACAGATGACGGGCGGAAGTAGAACTCCCATGATTGTAAAAAATGAGATGAATTCATGTCTTCCGAATGGGCGGGTATATGTTGGTTATGGTCTGACCGAAATCAGTGGCATAGCTGCAATTGACGATCCTTTGTCAAAGGACAAGGACACTGTTGGCCGACTTAATGTTGGAATACATGTTAAAATAATTGATGAAAACGGCAAACGGTGCGGTATTAATGTTAACGGTGAAATTTGCCTGAAAACGAACTATAAATGTTTGGGCTATTACGAAAATCCAAAAGCCACCAACGAATTATTTGACAGCGAAGGTTTTATTTTGACCGGAGACGTGGGCCATTTTGACGAACATGGTTATTTATACATTGTGGATCGGAAAAAGGAATTCTTGAAATATTGCAATTCACAGATTTCACCATCAGAAATTGAGAGCTTTTTGATTGGATCGCCACATATTAAATCGGTGTGTGTAGTTGGAGTACCTGATGATTTTGCTGGTGATTTACCAGCAGCCGTTGTTGTTAAAACTGAAGGATCTAATATCACGGAAAAGGATGTGTTTGATTTAGTTTCAGGTAATTTCGATATTGAAGAAAAAGAGTACATCTATCATTTTTCAAGGTTTTCTCATCCACAAATTCCTTTTAGAACACTATTCGGACATTTATAAGCTTCGCGGTGGAGTTTTTTTCGTTGATTCATTGCCTGCAACTCCATCGGGCAAAATTTTGAGAAGAAAAGCTAAAGAGATCGTACTTTCATTATTAAGTTCTTAGTTTTACACATGCATGTTTATTCTGTTTAAGATTTAATCAAACATTATATTGAAATATTTTCAGGCA